TGAATAGGAAAAAAACTAAAGTAATACAAAATTAATTGGAAACTAAAAACCAAGAAATAAAAAAAATATTATTGATATTTCAAGTAAGATAAGATACCACGAACATGGAAAAAATATTTAAAAAAATTTATCTGTCAAAAAATTAAGACATTTATTTTGATGATCTTGTATATGTTTTTCTATAATTTTTTAGTAAAGGTACAAAAATTTTGTCAATAAAAGCCACAAATAACATTAAACAGAGTTACAATTTAGGATACAGTATCCTTGCTTCCTCTTTTAATAGCCTGAATCAAAAAAACTTGGAAAATTATTTTTCCAATAGGAATAAATAGAGTCAAAGTGCAAAATTTAAACTCTCATAACTTAAATTTTTATAGATAGAGTTTTTTTTTTAACATTTTTTTTATGCTCCTGGAATCTTACTTTTACATGGCATTTTTCTCTGGGGCGCGAGTTCTAGCGCACCTGTATATTAAGTAATAAATAATGTACTAGAATGTAAAAAAGAAGAAATTGAACCAAAAAAAAAATTAGTATGTAATAAAAATTAGCACTTTGTGCATTAAAGGTTTTACTTGGAAAAAATAAGAGAATCTGGACTATTTGCAATAAAAATTGAATTATACAGGGTGATTTAAAAAAAACGGCATTTGCTGTAGAATTTTTATTTGTGACCCGATTTCAAAACTTAAAAAAATAAATTAAATGGCTATTAATATTCTCAAAATACGATTACATTTTTTATATTGCTTTAATTTATATTAATTATTATTTTCTGGAGGCAAATGATTAAAAAAAACCGCTTGGTTCCATAATTTATATTATGAATGTAATAATTAATTATCTATATTAAAACAGGAAAACATCTAATTTAGTATTATTAATTTATTTTATTATTTATTTATTTATTTTTAATATTTAATTTTATTTTTAATAATGTTATTGTTAACGTCAATTTTTTTATTGACACTATGCAACTAGATTTTATTAAGTTTTATTATTTTTTTATGCAATAATTTTTTATTTTTTAGTTAAAATAGAACATATTGCACATGTCTGTACCAAGAAAACTAATATTTTCCAAAATATATAAAACAAATTTATGCCCCTATTTAAAATTAGAAAGTTGAATGTAGCTCAAAATATACTATGATATTTAGAAAAAGTCCAATTTTGTCAACTTAAAAGCCATTTAATTAATTTTTTTAATAAATAAAAATTCTACAACACTCACCGTTTTAAAAAAATTACCTTGTATAGAGCGTTTTGACCTAAAAATTCACTTGTTATGCGAAATTTTGTTCAGACTGTTTTTGAGCAGAAAATTTCTTTTTTTTTAGCTAAAAATAAATGTATTCTGCGATAGTTAGTCCAAACTGTCCAAAAAGTCAACGATTTATGCCGAAAATAACGCTATTTGTGCCTTTTTTTGAGTATTTAAACACGTTTTCAAATGAAAAATTATTTATTCTTGAAATGTTTCTGAAACTGGCCGAAAAATTACCTATTTAGGTTGAAAACAACCGTATTTGTGCATTTTTTTAAACGTTTGATCATGTTTCTGAGCAAATTTATATACTTAATTTAATTAAACTAAATTAAAATAATTACTATTATCTTTTTTAGTGAACATTTCTGAGCAATAACCTCATTTTTTCATTACAAATCTGGCTTTTTTACAAGATTTTGCTCAAACTGGTCGAAAATTTATCTATTTTGGTCAAAAATTACGTTATCAAACTTTGAACACACTTCTGAGTCCAAATAACTTAATTATCGTACGAAATTTTAATTATTCTGGTTGAATAGGACATTGTTGACGTCTTTTTCGAGCACTTTAGAACGATTTTGAGCTTATTTGGAGATTTTTTGCTTTATTTCAAAATTTTAAAAAAACGATTTTAAAGTCACATTTTTGAACAAAAAGTTTTACTTTTTTACTTAAACTTACTTATTTTGCGAAAATTTACTTCAGCTGGTCGAAAACCCAACGATTGACGTTGTTTTTGTCTTCCTTTGGTGGTTTTTTACTTATTTTGTGTTATTTTGCTCGATACTATTTCTTTCAGCCTTTCTGGCCTACCGGTTCGGGCTGCGCCCGCGGCTTTCTCTCCTCCCTCGACGCCGCTTGGGCCATCCGAAGTTGGTGTTCGGGCACGATGACCCCTCTCGACGTGCTCGCCGAACGTGAATCAATCTACCGCCTCCTCGCTCAAACCACTCCCGACAACCTCAACAAAGAATGGAAGTCGTACACTCTGGACCCGGCCACCAGGTACCCCAACTTGAACAAGAACGTGGTGTTGCCACTGCAGACGACTCCACTCTTCGACAGCGACGATGCAAAGAGTTTGGAGAAGATGAGGAAGAACTCGTTAGAGGTGGCCACACCGATCGAAATGCCCAAAAAGAGGAGAAGAGGCAATGTCGACAACGAAGTTTTGCTCAATTGGGTGGCGGAACAAGTGCGCGAACACGACGATGTTGTCGTGGGGGATTTCGGATCGTTGTTCAAGGATGGGAGAGTGTTGTGTGCGATTTTAAATCATTACAGGCCGGATTTAGTCGATTTTGAGGGGGTGAAGAGCGAGGGGGCGGCAAAGTTGAATCAGTTGGCAATTGATATCTTGGAAAGGGAAATAGGTAAGAAGGCTCTAGGGGAATTTTACGCCAAACATTTGGCATCCCTGATTTTTTTAAACGAAGAATTTAATACATACATACTCTCAGCTAGTTGAAAAAGTCCATTAGTAACCTTTAAATTGTAAAATTTAAAAATAAATAGCACATTGATAGAATAGATACTAACCTAATCCATCGCCTAAAATTATTTTCAACTATACAGCGTGCCTCTAAAATAAGTTACAATACAAACTTGCGTTATGGATGAAATGCCATATATTGATTGTAGATTTTTATGACAGTGTTTTTAAGCTGATCTTTTATTGGTCGATTTTGCTTAGTTTTAAAAATGACTGTTTTTTGACAAAAACATGCACTTTTTAAAAATTTATTACCCCAAAACTAAGACATCTAGAAAATTTTTTTTAATACTACAAAGAAGAAGGTACAAGCTATAAGGTTGTAATATTTTTTTAGTGTGTTGCATTTGTAAAGATAAAAAAAAATTAAGGCGTTTGTTAACTTAAGAAAATTAAATGGAACACCCTATTTATTGTTTTTGCATTTAAAAGATTTTTAAATTGTCTTTCTAAAATTATTTACTTTTATGTGTTTATAATCAAATCAATAACTAAGAAGATATTTAACGTTAAACATTAAAAAAATAATAATTACTATTGTTTCAGTAGCCAAAAAATGCACAGTTGCATAAGAGATAGAAGAAATATCACTTAATAATCACATTTATGTTAAACTGAATCCATTATTCTTTATTTTTACAATAAAATAATTCGAATTTCAGTATTTATAACGACTTTTACAATCTCTGTATAAATTAACGGATAAGTGATCCGTGGTGGAATTACTATGGTTGGCATATTATCAACAATGCTCAGATATTGATAGGCATTGTTGCTACAATTAATATTGAATGTTAAATATCTTTTTATTTATAAATTCTAGACATTAAAAGTTTATTTTTATAGATAGACAGTTTAACAATCTATTAGATGCAAAAATAAAAAATAGTGTTCCATTTAATTTTTTTAAGTTATTTAACTTTTAACAAACTTCTTAATTTATTAATCTTTGCAAATGTAAAACACTAAAAAATTGCTACAGCTTTAAATTCTGTACTTTCTTCTTTGCAGAAATAGGAAAAAATTTGTTTTAGCTGTCTTAGTTTTTGTGTAATAAATTTTTAAAAAGTGCAAGTTTTCGTCAAAAAAACGTCTTATTTCTAAAACTAAGCGAAATCG